AACATATCACTAAAAGCTTTTTCGATTACATGTATTTGTTCAATTGAATATAGATTTCCAAGAGTATCACAACAATTTGAAATTTGTTTTATTGTTAAATCTCGAACATTATTACAAACTTCTTTTATTTCAGAAATATAATAACCAACTGATTCTTCATATTTTAATATTTTCTTAATAGTATCGATAGCAGATTGTACATTTTGTTCATCGAAAAACTTTTGTATGTTCATTCGATACATATGTAATTGTTTAAGACATTGTTCTCGTAGTGTTTTAAGAAGATCATGCATATCATGTTTGCTGTATTTTTCAGCTAGAACTCCTAATCTTGTAATAGCATGTTCATCTTCATTTATATTTGTAAATGATCTCTCAAGATCCTGTCTGTATGCCGTTTCTTCATCGATAATTAACTTACTCAACTCATCGATTTGTAATTTAAATTGAGTTTGTAAATCTTTAGGTAAAAAACATAGTGCATAATTTAATGAACGAATTTTTAGAGAACGTTCATTCAAAGGAGCTTTATGAACTTGATCAATAGCTAGACTAAAAGTTTGTCTAATTTTTCCTACCATCGAATTATGAGCTTGAGTAAATCTAGCACTACCATGAGAAGCAACCATTTTTAATTTAGCTAAAAGATCTTTTGGTGAATTGATAGAATATTTATTAACATCTTCAAAATCACTTCGTTCCAAAATTTTGGTAACTATTTGATCCAAACTTTCTCTTAATTCGTCACTTTTCTTAGTTACATCTGATGATATACAATAGCCTGCTAATTCACGTTGTACTTTACTAAGAGTTTCCATGCCATGTTCGGCTTCAGAAAAACTATCAGCATCCATAAATGCTTCAATAGAATGCAATCCTTTTAAAATGATTCTAGATAAAATCTCATTAATTTCATTGTCAAACTTTTGAAGACTAGTTTGTGTATCTTCATCAAGAAGTTTCATAATCATATGTTTATTACAAGCAGTTCGAATTTTCTCAATATTTTCTTTAATTTCAGTTATTTGACTTCTATTATCTTCTCTTTCAATTTTTCCATCGAGCCAATTCGCAATACTTTTTGTGTCTTTCATGAGCTTATTTAAAGAGCAATGTAAATCATTCTGAATTTGAGCTTTATCTCTTGGATTTAAAGGTTTATCCTGAATATCAGATAATGCCATATCTGCATTTGCATAGTCTCCTTTCGATATATGATCTAAAACAGTTTTATATGCTATTCTACATTCTTTATGTATTTCTCCTTGATATTGTCTGTATAAAGCTGCAAATCCATTACCAGAAAAAATATTTGCACAGAAACGATCAACACAAGTTAATGCTTGTGCAATGATTACTTGATTTCTTAATTCTTTAATTTTAGAAGGATTTTTATATTCTTCCATTTTAGAACTTAAAGTACGATGAAATTCAAGAAATTTCTGATGAAAATCTTCTATCATTTCAGCTCCATTTATACATTCGAAGACATACGAAAATCGACTGAAAGATAACAACTCTTGTAGACGTATTTCTAAATCTTGAGAATACAAAAATGGATCTTTTTCATCGTCAACAGTGTGCATATAATTAAATTTTGTAATTATTTCATGTTTTAAAAAAATACCATATTCTCTTATATATTTTCGTAAGTTTTCATTGGCATCAATAGCATTTTCTCTTACACGATCATGACCTACTTTTTCACATTGAAGTATATATATTAATGCATTATTTGCTGTTAAAGCATTTAATCTATCATTAAAATGATATGATTGTTGATTTCTTCCCTGTTCATTAATAACTCTTGTTATTTCTTGTATACTATTATCAAGTAATTCATAACTATTGAATCCTTTTTCTTGAAGAAAACTAGCTTCTTCAGAAGGTGAATGACGAGTAGTTATCAGTAAGTCATGCTCTTTTTTTATGGATTCAAGACGATCTAATAAAAGACTTAATTCTGTATTTTGATCTTCAATTCGTTGTAATTTTTGACGATAATTTTTCTTAACGTCTGAAATCTTTTCGTATACTGATTCAATACATGAATATCCTAATGATCTTAAATAAGTATCTGTCTGTGAGCTTTGGTTTTGAAAATCTAATCCTATCATACTTGACAATGTTTGAAATACGTCTTGATCTGTCGATAACGAAGACAACAGATTCATGTAGTTTTGAACAATTGAGTTTAAATTTCGCAACTCAGATTCCATATCACATTGCGCAGCTAGTAATACATCATTTTCCAGTTTTCTTTTTACTTTTAACTCTTCCATGTCATTAGTTAGCATATTGATGTTTGAATAACCTTGTTTTTGTAGATAAATACGAGCTGGATGTAAATTACTATATTCTCGTTTAATTTCTTCAAGTTCTTTTAACTTCTGTTTTATTTGATAAAGATCTTTATCTTGTAAATTAAAAGTCTTTTGTATTCGATCGAAAGCTTCCTGTGTACAACGCAAAAAACGCTGGAGGATACTATTTCTATACTTTTCTAATTCTGGAATACTACGCTCTAAATCTTGCATAGATTCAATTTTGTCAACAATCTCTTTCGCAATAGAAACATTCTCTGGACATTTCAAACTAAAATCTACTTTCATGAAACTATCTTCCAATTGACAAGCATATTGCACTAATTCTTCTGTAATACGGCGCATTACATTATCATATATTCCTGGACTAATCTGATCGATCCATGA